ATATTTGTGGAATACACCACGCCGCCGTTGACCCTGGCCATTGACCGAGCAACCCAACGTTCCTACCAGCTCCCTCCGCAGGAATGTGTTTCTTTTTGGGTGGGGGATTGCTCGTTTGTTGTTGTAACTCCATCACTGGCGCCCCTACTGGACATCCGTGAAAAAAAAAAACGAAGAGCTTCATAGCTCATCGGATTTTCTCCAGGATGAATGCAACATTCTCGTGGTGAGTGTGCCGATGTGGCTGAGCACGCTGATGCCTCTCTGTTGGCACGGAGGTTGTAATCACGAACTCCGGCGTTCAGTTTCTGGCACGAGATCCTCGGCATGGAAAGGGGGGCAGGGGCTCTCCCCCCTCCTTCTTCCGTCTGCACGAACAAATTTGCTGAAGATTAAAGGACAACTCGACCTTAAAAACAAATCCATTGGATGCTATTTTATTTTAATAATCAAAGCGACATTGATTCACGCTAATAACGCAATTGAACTCCACTTATGTAAATATGTACAATTTGGAATGTACGTCTTCCAAGGGTCTGCTCCGAGCTACAAGGCAGCGTTATGGCCCTTCGTAAGTCCACTGCTGAATGAAGGGCTGCTCACGCCATGTAGGTCACGGGTGGGGGGGAGAGCGGGGAGGTATTTTGACCAAACGTCATCGTGCCGGTATTTTGGCATCGGTGAATGTCTTCTATAACGAGTCCGTAGCCAGCAGACTCGTGATGATGATGATGATGAGAACACCCGTTTTCAAATAAGGAGGCATCCAGTAAGTGGATGTGGAGGAGACAAAAATTGGAATTCGGAAGGAGATTGACTTGACTCTAATGGATACACCCTCGATCGTTAGAGTCCAGAACAGACGATCGGCAAACTCTGTTCTGGATCGAGAGCTCTGGAGCTCCGTGCAGACAATCGGCAAACTCTGTTCTGGATCCAGGGCTCCGAAATCCGTACAGACAATCGGCAAACTCTGTTCTGGATCCAGGGCTCCGGAATCCGTACAGACAATCGGCAAACTCTGTTCTGGATCGAGGGCTCTGGAGCTCCGTGCAGACAATCGACAAACTCTGTTCTGGATCGAGAGCTCTGGAGCTCCGTGCAGACAATCGGCAAACTCTGTTCTGGATCGAGGGCTCCGTGCAGACAATCGGCAAACTCTGTTCTGGATCGAGAGCTCTGGAGCTCCGTACAGACAATCGGAAAACTCTGTTCTGGATCCAGGGCTCCGGAATCCGTGCAAACAATCGGCAAACTCTGTTCTGGATCGAGGGCTCCGTGCAGACAATCGGCAAACTCTGTTCTGGATCGAGGGCTCCGGAATCCGTGCAGACAATCGGCAAACTCTGTTCTGGATCGAGAGCTCTGGAGCTCCGTGCAGACAATCGGCAAACTCTGTTCTGGATCGGGGGCTCCGGAGCTCCGTGCAGACAATCGGCAAACTCTGTTCTGGATCGAGGGCTCTGGAGCCGGAGTCTGGCCAGCCGAGTACAGTACTGTACGTCACTCCATCAGCTCGGTGTATATATGTACAGGAGTGGTCCAGGTGTCTTGTGACCCTCAATTTAGTTATCTAAAACTTCATATTTTTAAAGTAAGGTTTATTTAAATCTAGATTTAACAGTGCATAGCTCCCAGTGGCTCTCCTAATATGGGGAAGGAAGAGCGTTCCAGACGGCCGCATCATTAACATCATCACCACCACCATCACCAGCATCAACGTCAACATCCCCCACTTCCTCATCATCACTACTACCATAAACAGCATCACCACCACCATTGGAACCTCATTTGCCAGTAAAAAATATGATAATTGGTTTTTACCCTTTTATCTGGCAAAAAAACTGACAACTTTTTTTTACGAGGAGTCATGTTTGCATAGACCACAATACCTGCAGTCATAATGCAAACAAAAAACATAACTCTGATAATGTGTGCACTGTCCTTGAAGTTGATTGGTCCACACCCGAGACAGCTTTCCTTAGAGCCTAGTCTCACGCGCCTTTTGGCGTCATCTTGTCCAACACCATGTGAGACTAGGCTCTAAGGAAAGCTGTCTCGGGTATGGACCAATCAACTTCAAGGACAGTGCATACATTATCAGAGTTATGTTTTTTGTTTGCATTATGACTGCAGGTATTGTGGTCTATGCAAACATGACTCCTTGTAAAAAAAAGGTGTCAGTTTTTTTGCCAGATAAAAGGGTAAAAAAACAATTATCATCATCACCACCATCACGTATGTCCGTTCAACTTCCTTCCCACCGTCCGTAGCCAACGGTGCTGATTGGAGGTGGCGGGGATAGGACAACAAACCAAACACAAACATCGCTTCTAAAAAAATCCGTTTTCAATCCAGATTTTTAAAGTGCAAAGCTCCGAGTGGCTTCCCAATATCGGAAGGAAGAGCGTTCCAGACGGCCGCCGCAGAGGCGCATCGGGAAGCGCCGCGCGATGCGGATGACCGGTGTCGCCTCCTCTCGCTCAGGTGGGACTCCTGCCTTGATTGGCACTCCACCGTTACTCTTGACCATGGGGGGAGGGGGGGAATCATCACACTCCCTTGTATCTGTGTTGTGTCGTGTTCCGTGGCAAGGACATTTGCTCTTCTGAGCTGAGCAAATTATTTGCCGGTGCTGCTGCTGCTGGGTTGGCAGTGACGCACAAAGTACGAGCACGTGAAGAACAACTCTACAGTACAGTAGTTGCAATATCTTTACAACAGTGGGCGGAGTTTAATTTGATTTTAATTGGCGTGGCTCTGCTATCCACTTAGTGGGTCGAGTCATCGGGGGGAAATCGATGTGTTTGGATTATCGAGAGTCTACTAATATAGATAAAGTATGGATCGTACAGTACTTGTGAGCACAAACGCACGTGCTGGAAAGCGTAACAAGGTCAATCCATACGCATGTTTGTTTTTTCTTCTGCTCTTCAAGAGGAAGCCAGCGTTACTTTCATTATATTGACGTGGCCAATATTGCTTTTAGTCATAGACACAGAGCCATTATGACAGTCATTAGAGTGCCGTGTTGCTATGCTGTTGTTGGTGGCATTAAACAATGACGATGGCTGGCCAGATGGGCTCAGCGACAGAGCGATCGGCTGGGAATCGGAAGGGTGTGAGTTAAAATCCTATTGAACATCCTTATTGGGTCGATAAAACGAGTACCACTTTGTGGATAAGTCAACAGTGGTTGCCCCAATGGATAGCCTACCGCCCATGCAGTGACGTGCGGTGAGGTCAATGGATGGGGAGGCACTGGCTAGTGGCAGAGCCAGATTCACACACTGAGGGGGGCGTGTCCTCACTGAGGAGGGCGTGGCCTCACGGAGGGGGGCGTGGCCCCACGGAGGGGGGCGTGGCCTCACTGAAGGGGGCGTGGTCTCACGGAGGGGCGTGGTCTCACTGAGGGGGCGTGGCCTCACGGAGGGGGGGGCGTGGCCTCACTGAAGGGGGCGTGGTCTCACGGAGGGGCGTGGTCTCACCGAGGGGGCGTGGCCTCACTGAGGGGGCGTGTCCTCACGGAGGGGGCGTGGTCTCACGGAGGGGGCGTGGCCTCACTGAGGGGGCGTGGTCTCACGGAGGGGGCGTGGCCTCACTGAGGGGCGTGGCCTCGCGGAGGGGGCGTGGCCTCACTGAGGGGGCGTGGCATCACGGAGGGGGCGTGTCCCCACTGAGGGGGGCGTGTTTGACACGTACCCCTCAGTGAGGCAGATGTGATAGCTGCCTCCCCTGGTGCTTTTTAATTGCAGTTTCATGACGAGACCAGCGAGCCTCAATATATTTATACGCATACGTGAAATAAGTTACCTGGAGTATGGAAGGCGAGGACATGAAATGAAGGGGTCTACAAACATTACATTGGTGACATACTGAGATAGTAACAGGCACGCGCTTATTGCCCGCGCTCCATCCAGTTACTGAGGGGTTGCGCAATCAGAGGGGAGGCTGAGCTCGTCGCTGCCTCACCTCTCGTCTCTTCCTGTATTTGCAGCGGAGCTCCGCAAATTTGCCGATTTTTTTACTATAAAAATAATTGGAATCGTACAGAAATTACATTTATAACACAGATCAGTGGAAAAATCTTTATATATCTTTTTATTTAGTTATTCTTTTCCTTCTTGGTTCTTTATTACTTCCCTTCTACGTGACTTTACCGAAAGAACCAAGAAGATGAATCCCTGCAGTCACGAAAGCTTTAAATCTAAATTTATTCTTTTTCGTAACAGCTATTTTCATTGGAGTATGACAGATGAGAGGCTCTGCCTCCCCTGCCTCCCCTGTCCGCACGTCCCTGCTCTCATGATATCAATGTGTAATTCCGCCACTGACCACTGGCTCGGGCCTGTATCGGAGATGAGCCAAGCAGCCTCCAAGGACGCTCATTTGTTGACACTCTGAACAATGATGATTCTGACGACGTCGACGTTAACGACCACGTGTCCACGCCAATGATTATCCATCCATCACGACGACGACGATGATGATTGAGGCATGATCCCAGATTCAACATCAATAGCTCCCCTCGACCCAACCTCCGACGGACATCCAATTCCGAACACCCAGTTTTAACTCGCCCTCAATAATGATCGACTGGGAAGAGAGTCTTTTGTCCGTATTTTTGTTCGGGTCGGTACGCCTCGCTTACAGAATATACGGCAGCCGGCTGCGTTAAAACGACCGCTGGGGGGGGAGGGAGGAGGAGGGGGTGGCGAAAAGCAGCTCCCCCGTCACGCGGCCCGAGCGAACGACAACAAAAGACAGAGACAAGGAACAGCTCCCCCCCCACCCCGCTTGTCGCCCCCGATCTCCATTACGATAGAACGGAGAGAAGCACGAATAATATTGGAGGAGGGGGGCGGGTTAGGGGGGCATCTGGTGGGGGAGGAGGGGAGGAGGGGATAATGGGGGTGGGGGGGTGGAGGATGTGACAGAAACAAATGAAGTAGGATTTTAGGGTGGCCTCCTTTAGTCGAGAATTTACGGTAAAACTCGGATCGCCGGTGGCCGCGCGCGCGCACGCGACGGAGCCACCGAGCGAAGCGTCATCCGCGACGCCTGCACGCCGAGGAGATTACGCACAGCGCTGTCGTGGGTTAACACACGCGCGCGCGCACACAGCAGCCAGCAGTAATAGCAGCAGCAGCAGCAGAGACCGCAAATATACAAGCACGATCTTACAGTAAACCCAGCATCAGCGTCATCTCGTCATCACTCGCGACGAGGCTGATCTTCGCTTGCAGGTGAGAGCGCTTCAAGACGATTTTTTTTTGTGGTCGCAAGAAAAAAAAAAGAAAAATGACCCGTAAATAAATAAATAAGTGCTACGGGATTGTGCCTGGGATTGGGGGAAAAAAAACACATTTAAAATAAATTGTCATATCTGTGTGGTGTGTTTTTGTTGTTTTTTTCTGATAACGGTATAGTGGGTTTTTTTATTTTATTGTACCCGTTGATGACTTGGCATACGAAGAAGGCTGCTGTATCTGCCCGAGATATTTAAGTTCAAGAGAAAAATACTAATGAATAATTCTGCTACTGCCTGCTGGCTGGTGCTGCTACTGGTGCTTGGGAAAGCGTAGGGGCGGATTGCGTCTTGTTTTCTCACCTTTAACGGCGAACATAGGCAAAGCGCTCCCTTCCTTGCCCATAACGGCAACCACAACGGCAGGGCTCGTATGTGATGGAGGCGACGGTGGTGGCGGGGATGATGATGGTGGTGGTGGTGGTTGTTGTTTCATTGCGACGATTCAGATGAATAACCGATATGATTCGAGTGGACACAATGTGATTTGATTTCGGATGATATTTGAGGATTCTGAAAATGCTGGTATCGTGGGGTGTAATGATTAGGAATTGGGGGAAATGCCCCTCCGAATGATATGCAAATGTAAAAATTGCAACGTTGCTTGGTATACCGCAGATAATGATGGTGCATTGTGTATTCCATGTGGATAATTTGCGAGCATACGTATGGTGTTAACGATAGACGGTAGTGAACCGATATGATGACGATGTTCACGGCGTTTGCTGCATGGTGTACTTACTCGGGAACGATTGAGGCTATGAATAATGAATGAACATTATTATTATTATTTATTCTCGGTAATATAACCGAGAGAATTGCGGAATGCTGATTACGCGAGAACGGTTAATGATGAACGTGGATGATGCGCTCAACGTTGCATATTAACATATGGAAGTCATGGTGACGATGTGGGAGGGCTAGGGAAGGTGACAATGGAATAATGATGATATATAATGCTTTTTTTAAAAAAATACACACACACACGTGACGAGCAATTTCAATACATCGTGGGAGAAATAAAATGATGAGAGTTTGCGATGACAAAGGCGATGGCTGGGAATTGTATCGTGGTAACAGAAGACACGAATACACGGTTTTCTCCCCATTAGCGAGACACAATATTGCATGCAATGCGTACTGGGGGGGGGGGGGGGGGGGGGAGTGGGGCGGGGGTTGCAGCGATTAGATTAATATCGTGTATGTTTTGTTGTTGTTGTCGTTGTAAATATATACATATATCTCTCGCTTTAGTTGCGTTGCATAGAATATTAATTACGACAACGGTACCGCTACGCTGGGGCAAAATGTTCCCGTGGCTGTCGTGAAAAACGACGGCATCGGTCGTAAGATCTGCGAGTTCCTCTCATCGTAATCAGGATTGACTCGGCCCTGCGCCATCCCCCGCCCCCCACCCCCCTCCCCTCCGGGGTAGGCTGAGTAAAAATAGCATTCGTTTGGGACTGCACCACTCGATGGGAAGGCGAATGGTAGATTCCGACAACGTTGGCCCTTTCAAAGGCCAGCGGGTTGGGAAGAAAGCTTCGCGGAGTGGCGGTGCTCTTTCGCTCGCTCGCAAGACGCGAGCGCGTGGCAAGGAGCGAGTGTCCCTTGCAACCCGTGCCAGTGAAGTGTCACCGGGCCGATGTCGATACCAGGGGGGGGGATGATGCTGCTGCGGCTACTTGGCCAAGGCTTCGAATGCGTTGCATGTGGTTGTTGCAGAGGCGGCGACGCCGCTGTCGATGCATAAAGGGCGCGCGTTAATAGAAATGATAATTGTCGTTGCAATTTTTCTTTTGCGTACGGAGAGGGTGTGGGTGGGGTGGGTGGGGGCTTTGTCCTGCATTAATTGGAATTATGTAATAATAATGATTAAAATAAATGCTGCCAAATGGCTCTTTTTCATTCGGGGTAGCTGTTTAGTTTTTTAGTTTAAGCCGCGGTCAAAGGCATTTTTGGCCGGCTGAAGATGGTCACCGGTGAAATTCAGATTTCCACAATGTAAAATGCCGCTCGTGGATTTGGATGTTGTGCCGTTAGCGGGCGAACGTTGGTTTCAGAGGGAGCAAAGAGGCGTTTAAATTTCGATTTAAAGCTTTCGTGACTGCAGGGGTTCATCTTCTTGGTTCTTTCGGTAAAGTCACGTAGAAGGGAAGTAAGGGAAGTAAAAATAAAATAATCGTGAGAATTGTTTTATTATGTTTTATTTTTATTATTTTATTACTTCCCTTCTACGTGACTTTACCGAAAGAACCAAGAAAAAAAAAGAGGCGTTTGTTGAGTCGAGCTATATCGGGTGCTGTCACCGAGGTCACCGTGAATTTGAATCAAGTGCAATCGTGCAAAATGTTGGAGCGGCTGGGGTTGGACCGGTGAGAGGAAGGTACGCGGCCCTAGGTTAACCACGAAGCAATCAGTCAGCGTAGACACAGAGGGAGACACACACACACACAAAGACACAAAGACAAAGAGCCCCCGTATGGCCTTTAACAGATTGTTGAGGCAAGTGGTGTTAGCGAGTGGCACCTATGAAGGCCGACATGGCACACCCCACGGGGTGAGTGGACAGCACCACGCCCGGCCGCCTTTGTCTCCCCAGTAGCGATGTTTACACACCGCACCCAGGTACTCGTTTGAGGCTGAGTCGACCTAGGGGAGTTAATAGTCACCGGTGTTGGCTATGAGCGGGAATTGAACTCGGGTCGCCGGGGTTTGAAGCACAGCGCGCTAACCGCTCCACCACCGCTCCCCACACACACAGACACACAGAATGGAAAACATTGGACAACAAAGGAGAGAACACGGCTCACACAATTTTGACCCGGTTATGTAAACAAAGACAAAGATTCCCCGTATAGCTTTAGCAGACTGTTGGGACAAGTGCTCTTAGCGAGCACCTATCAAGGCCGGCGGCACGGCACACGAGGGGGGTGAGTGGCCAGCACCACGCGCGGCCGCCTTTGTCTCCGATGATTTTAAACACCGCACCAGGTACTCATTTGAGGCTGAGTCGATCTAGGGGAACGAGGCCCAGGACCGGTTCAGATAAACGGAGCTGGTGTTGGCCGTGGGTGGGAATCGAACTCTGGTCGCCAGGTTCGTGGTGCAGTACGTTAACTGCTGCACCACCGCTCCTGCCACACATCGAGAGAGACAACCAAGGTATAATTGCTGTTTGTTTTTCACGTAATGAAAATAAAGGGCAATGCATCTCTGGAATTTCATTATTTGATCAATATTTCAGTCTGCACTTTGTGATGATATATGGTTTGCTCATGTTAAAGTAATTTAATTAATATGATAATGCTGATGATGGTTGTGGTTATGAATATTTAAATTAAATTAATTGCCGGGTACTTATTTTTTTTGTACCGATTTGAGGTTTTGGTCAACCGGCAGACATTTTGTTATATAATTTTTTTTTCTAATATTGAGATTAATTGTACGAGAAAGGCTGAGGCGGAAGGGCAGCGTGGTGGTTACGTTTGTCCCTCACAACAACAGGGCCCTGGGTTCAATTCCCAACTATGGCACCTCTCCGTGTGGAGTTTGTATGTTCTCCCCCTGTTCTGCATGGGCTCCCATTACCAATTTCCTTGGTAATGGCCAAACGTCCTCATGTAGGACCGTCCTAAAGAAGAGTCTCCGGACATAGTGTGGCTTATCTGGATAAATAAGTGATTATTCTTAGTAGTATTATGAGTGGCGCTGCATCGATGCAAAAACTGATTGTAAGCACAGAATTGTCGGTTCAGGTTTCAAGTTTAAACATTTTGCAATCGTTGCGTCTCATGGGCACGAACGGGTTAATGAGGTAGTGGGCGAATTAGTGGGTGAGATGGTGGCTGGAGCGGTGGGTGAGTGGATGAGTGAGTTCGTGTAACTGGATGACAGCTGAAGAGAGCAGGATGAGTCCCGGGCAGAAGTCGCAAACGGGTTTTGATTCCTTACCCGTACCCGGCCGCACCAGGGTCGCAAATGGGTACCCGTACCCGGCCGGGTACGGGTACCCGTTCCCGACCCGTACCGGTACCCTACCCGAAATGAGTGACAAATGGTTACTCACCAGTGACTCACGTCCTACCCGTACCCGTACCCGGCCGCACCAGGGTCGCAAACAGCTACCCGGGTATCGGGTAGGGTACGGGTATCGGGTACCCGGTTGCGTCCTCTGGTCCCGGGGCATTGGTCTGCCAGTAGGGGGCGATGGACGCTATGTACGATCACAATTGAGTAATTCATTTGGGGTGCAATTTTTTTTTTTATATTTGGATCGTGGTGCTGGCACACAATTACCTACTCTTGTTTACGACGTCAGGGGATCTTTAACATCCACTCACTGTGAAGCAGATGGTTCAAAGTATTGTTCTGGTTATTTTACATTGGCAGTAATTATCATGGTGGCCGCGGGGATTTGAACTGAATCCTGCAGTGGATGTCGCTAGATCGGGTGGCAACGTTACTACATATGAGTGGTCTTCTTGGTTCTTTCGGTAAAGTCACGTAGAAGGGAAGTAATAAAATAATAAAAATAAAAATAAAACTAATAAATTATTTTATTATGTTTTATTTTTATTATTTTATTACTTCCCTTCTACGTGACTTTACCGAAAGAACCAAGAAGATGAATCCCTGCAGTCACGAAAGCTTTAAATCGAAACATATGAGTGGTCCACCATCCGTGCATATTATAAATACTTTTTAAAAAAGCGTCATGGATAATGCAGAAGACATTTGCCGTAAGCAAAATTGAGTTAATTATTGTTTACGATTGCCACGACCCTTGCAGTGAGTGCTGTTATTGCAATGGTGCTGCGGTGGTGCAATGTTAACTACCTCGCCTGGTATACAGGAGGTGATGGGTTCGATCCCAACCATGACGCCTGTATATTTGTTTTTTTCCCCGTGGTCACATGGCTTTTTTTCTCCGGGTCC